CACTCAGCTCCACTGATACCATATGGAGACCCACACAGACTCATGGCCCCAGTTTCGGTGCATCAAATCACTGTCAGTTACCTCCATACCCTGGTGGCTTGCCCCAGCCCATGGGTGGGGATCAAAACCCCATGAGATGCTGCTGCACTTTTCCGTCCGTAAGCAATATACCAAATCAGATGCCTGAATATTGGAATGGAGGTGCCAATAGCTACATGGCCCCTGGTGGGTATGATACATTCTACCAAAACTGGACCAATGGAAGCGCAGATCCAGGCCTGAACAGTGCACAGGTTGACCTTTCATACTCCATGTACACCCTGTTCTGATTAACAGAGCTGTGTTGCAACCCTAACAATACAGACGCACCAGTCATGCATACATGCTAACCTAGCCCGCAGAAGGGGTGGATGTCGGCGACATGGGGGTCGCCAGTGCAAGTGTTCGTGCTGAAGCTTAAGCTTGTAAAGATGAAACGTGAAACTTATTGTAAAACGGTTATGTTGGATGGTACCTTTGGCGCAAATTTGCCGAATAGCCGTCATTGGATCTGTACTCTTGTAGTGTGGCCGATGTTTTACTGCTGTTCTGTGCTGGACCATGAGTTACTTGGCCTTGCTTCTTTTTGGTTGCTCCACGATGTTAGCACAAGGCCAGGACACAACACATGATTGCTATTGTATGGTTCACCATCCATCTCGTCCAACTAGCCTAAATCATATACTGTGTCAGGTTCTTTTTCCAAATCTTCTGATCGCCAAAAGCAATTGTCAACCCATGAGCATGAGGCTGTTTGTGTCTGCCTTTTTCTGCCAAGCTTATCACGACATGCCCCTCCATATCGATCAATGATGGTGATACTGTGAAGGAATTTATTCCCCTCCCAAGCACAGGCTGTGAGCCACTGCTTTCACGACAACAAGCACCAATTGCGCTGGTGCAAGCTAACTACTACTAGAAAGCAAAGTGATGCTGATAAAAATCTTTAAGTACTGAATGCCATTTAGATTCTCTCTATTGGTCAACCAGGCCCATGAAGCCATGACTTTTAGCAACTCTGTACAGTATTTTTCTATGGGACTTTTAGCAACTCAGTTGCTTGCAGAAGAGAGCAAGCAGTTGGTGACTAATCCTTCGTCGCGATGCAGTTATGAGGTTCGGTCAAGCCGAAAAATGTACGAGTACCAGAACAGTGGTGCTAGTACCACTGTACCAGTAACCCATTGATGTCCAGTTGTACTACGAGTACCACAGTGGTTTGAAGCCGTTTTATCCAATGGTACCACACCAAGTGCAATCAGTACTTCCCGTGGCCCGTGCAAATCACCGAAAACAACAGGGCATGTCCTGACCTGATCAGCGGCTTACTCTTGTACACCACCGAAAATCCCAGGACGCCGAGGTCTTGCATCCTAGTCAATGTGCCATAACAATGTGTACAATAGGGACTTCGATGCAGTTCGTTCTTAAAACTTTCCACCACAGGGGCTTCGAAACCAAGGCAACTCGCACATGGCCACGTTGCGTCCTACATACACAAACAAACGGTCCAAGCATTTCCATAAACTGCTCGAGGAAAAAAACAGTTCAATGAAGAACACACGTATATGAACGTCAACTTTCTGCTTTGGCATGGCCCTCCATCTGCCCATCTGCGCCTGCTGGTTCACGAAACGGAAAGCTTGTGGAGCGCTCCTCTCTTGTTGCGCGCCTGGCTTGCATGATGCGTGCCATGGACGGGATTAGATAGATGCTTCACACTCAAAGTTGTTGCCTTCTTTTCCTTCAAATTTCCCTTCTTCCATTTTTCTTCCACACTTTTTTTGCTACTATAAATGTGGATCGCGGAGTCGTCTCGTCTCACGCGTTTGTTAACGGTGGAATGGGAAAAAGGAGAAGATGGAAACATGTTCTTAGACCGGGGGTTAGGCATTTGATCAACAAAGCAAACCACATGTCCACGAAATTGCCCTAATTAACATCCGAAATGCGACTCCCTGGTCTGTATATGTTTGCAAGACGATTGTTTTCTCAGTCGGGATGCACCGAAAGAGCGATGACTCGATCCACCATGACCGCTTCAAACTTCCCCCGAACACCAGTTCTTGGGTTCTCCTGTGAAGACACAAAATGCAAGTCTAGCCCATCCAACTTTATTGATTGGAAAGGCTTTATATATTTAGCCCATCTCTTATGTTGTACTATTACTGTATAACTACTAGAGATACGTGGGAATACTCAAGTTTAAACTGATAGCGCTGACTAGTACATCATAGCACTACATAGCTACTCCCTCCGTTCCAAAATAGATGACTTAACTTTGTGCTAACTTTAGTACAAAGTTAGTATAAAATTGGGTCATTATTGTTAGATGTATAACCAATATGGTCGCTCACGCGTGTACTTCACATCAGGCAGTTAGGGCCACTCTCTCTTTCTTCTTTTTGAGCGAATAACCTGAATGTGGTTGCTTGTGTGCGCACATCAGATTTGAGTTTCATCTGTTTTTTCATGCCTTGGCTCGGCTTGGTTTCGATGTGATGTACTAATAGCTCCAGTTGGGTAACCCAAAGCCTCCGTAATAATCAGGGGCTCACGTTTTTTTTTTTTACCATCACGAGGCGCTCACGTTCTTGCCGGGAAATGATAAAGAAGTAGCAACTCAAAGCACGCCAGTCTGAAGCCATGTTTGGTGAGCGTCTGGTCGCAGCCACATATTCCGTGTGCGCGCGCCTTCCAGTACACTGAAACTTGTACTCCTAGTTATTATTAATATCAATAAACCAGCACCAAATTCCTGTCAAAGTTCTGGCATAAAAAGTTTGAAAAAGTGCAGCTGCAATTTTAGTTAGTTTGCTTTAGCAATCACATAAGCTCGGCTCGCCAGCTGCTAATCAAGACGGACAAAGCACCTTTCTCAGCCTGTGTTTAACAAACGCGCGTGGTTTTAGACCTTAATAATCTCTAGCGCAAGACTGAAGACCAGACTGCGACTAGGATCGTCAATAGCAGTTCTTAAGAAAAACAAAATTATGCAACACATAATAACGATTAAAGCATTGGAAAGTTTGACGATCAAACTTACAGATACTTGTGGTGCAGTGAGCTAAACAACCTCCGGCTATAAAGAGCGACCGCATAGGCTAGAATCGGCACCTTAACCGCCTAAGCCTAGTTCATAGACCGGTCCCATTGAATAGCCGCAACTTTGGGGCGTATCAACCTTTATTAAGGAAAAAGTTTGGTAAAGGTTGCTGGTTTAAGCAAAGACCCTCCATTACCGATGCGGACATATGCCAAATGATCTTTGACATCATTTGACATTTTACTCCGCATCCACGAAGAGAACGTTCAATGTTAGTACTCCCTTATCCCGAAATGCGGAAATGTCTGTTTTACAAAGTGTGTGGTCAAATTCGTCTAACTTCGACTATTCGCACTCATGAATTTTAGTTTTTTCATAAACAATGCTTCACAATATACTTCTTTTTTAGGTTTTTATTATAGTATAGTAAGAAGTAGTTGATATTCGAGTAGGGCATTTTGGTGGACAAGCTACATGGAGCTCGATTTTTTGAAAAATTCAGAAATCACATTTTGAAGTTCCGAAAAATTCTGGGAAAAAGCATACATGTTTATACGGATGTGTTTTACATGTGTATAGATTTTGACGTTGAACTACATTATGGTCAGAGCTACACAAAAAAGAAAAAACTCGTACATTTTTAATAGTAAATAATGTACATATTGTTCATCATTTTCAAAATCATGGTTTTGTCTTTTTTAGCTCTCACCATAGTGTGTACCATCTTCAAATTTTACACATATGTAGTATACATCCGTATGAACGTGTGTGTTTTTTTATATTTTTTTTGAAACTTCAACAATATGATTTTCATTTTTTTTAAATAAAGAGCTTGATGGAGCTTGGCCTCCGTTTAGCATTTTCGTTGATATCCTCACTCATATCAACCATCCTATACAACCAGATCAGGTGGCCCATAAAGTTCTTCTCAAAAAAAAGGTGGCCCATAAAGTAGGTTTGACCCTTCTTAAATGCCTCATAATTGCATGTTTAAGGGAGAGTTAACACGCATCAATTCGTGCCTAAAAAAGGAGTTAATTAATATTCTGGTCAATTTCCCTCTCTCCAAATATTGTCCATATTAATGTCTTAGCGGCTTATAGGATAACTGGTGAGTTGCTTACTTTCTCTTAGCTAAGAGATAATCTCTTAAGGATAAAGATAAGACATTTGTCTCTATTTATTATATGAGTTGTCTTACAGTATGTTACTCACATGTTTTGTAGTTTAATTATAATTACCATCACATAATTTTCAGAACTTATCTCATTGAATACTAAAGATAACACCCTCCATCATATATCATCGTTTATATAGCTGTGGAATACGTAAGAAACGATCTCCGTATCACCCGCTGTACAAACTCTAACAAAGATAACTCGCACCGGTGAATGTTTAAACAAAGCATAGTTCATGAAATATGCACTTACATCCATTTGAGCGACGAGTAATTCCGCGCGCTTTGCGGCCAAGAGTAACCGTCGATATTAAACCCGCAATCAACATTAAAATCCAAATGCACCGGCGCATATACAGATCTAATGGCGTAGACCGCGTCCACGCAGAAGCCAGCCCCCCTCGCAGCCGTCCTTTTCTCCCCGGTTCTCGGCATATTTTCTCCACGCCGCAAATGGCCAAAACCCCCGTAAAAGCAAAACCCACCCGCGACTAATCGACGCCATTAGCGAGGAGCACGAGCGCCAGGCACCGCATCGCATCGCATCGCACGCGAACCTTCCCACCTCCCCCCCGAAGTGCGGACTACAGAGCCACCAGACATGGCCTCCGCCTCGCCTCTGTAGAATCCCACCAACCAGTCTTCCCTGTCCGCGCCCCCGCGATTCGAGTTCGACCAGGGCTGGAGGCCTCGCCGTCGGCGTCTGGTGGTGCGTCGAGTGTCGAGGCGACCGCGCGGATGGCGGCGGTGGCGGAGGGCGCGCCCGCGGCTTCCGCGCAGGCGGCGGCTTCCGCGGCGGCCAAGGAGGCGGAGTACCGCAAGGACGTGCAGAAGCTGGTGGACCTGCTCTCCAAGCTGAACCCGGCCGCCAAGGAGTTCGTCCCGTCCTCCGCGGCCGCCACGCCCAGGAAGGGCCTGTCGGCGGACGCGCCGGTGTTCTACTACGGCCCGATCGGAGGCCGGAGCGCCGGGATCGGCGGGTACCCCGGCAGCGCCGACGCCGGGTACATTGGGTACCAGCAGCGCATGGTAAAATTCTGCGGCCTCTTCTGCAGTATCATCAGTCATTCAGAGGCCGGGACTTGGTTGGGAGGCTCGGATCGTGCGGAGGATTTGATGCGATTACTTTTTTTTTGCATTAGTTGATACACTAAGATTGGATGCGTTATCTTTTTTCCTCATATGTGTTGGATGGCGTTACCGG